CCTGTATCCCCCCCCCCCCAGGTGGCCCTGCGGGACCGTGTCTTCTTGATAGACCTGCTGGCTCTCTGCCGCCAACAACCGCCGCGACATCAGCAGGAGCAGCCCGAGCAGCCCAAGCAGCAGCAGCAGCAGCAGCAGCAGCAGCAGCAGCAGCAGCAGCAGCAGCAGCAGCAGCAGCAGCAGCAGCAGGCGTCGGACGCCGCCGATGACGCCCGGCGGGCGGCGACCGAGGCAGAGCTGTCAGCGCTCATCGCGGACATCTGCGCGGACGATCGCATTGTCAAGGTTGGCTTCTTCTTGAAGGGGGACCTGGAGCGCGTTCGCGAGAGCTACCCCTGGCTCCCGCTCTTCGCACCGCCCGCAGACGGCGCCCGGGGCGGCGGCGGCGGCGGCGGCGGCGCTGGGGCCGACGGCGGCGCCCCGCTCGCGATGCACGTGGACTTGCTGCACCTCGCGCGCGCGCTGCTGCCGCAAATTGCAGCACCCGCGAGCGCAAGCCTGACGCGGCTCGTCGAGGCGCTGCTGGGCGCGCCGCTCGACAAGGCGCAGCAGCGCAGCGACTGGGGCGCGCGGCCGCTGGCGCGGGCGCAGCGGGAGTACGCGGCCGCGGACGCGCTCGTGCTGACGGCGCTGTTTGACGAGCTGCTGAGGCGGGCGCCGATCAGGGCGGGGCGGCGGCTGCTGGGGACGATGGACGGCGGGCTCAGGAGCCTGCCAATGACGGCTCCCGCGCGGGATGGGGACCGGCGGCGGGCAGCGGTGGGGCAAGACGATGGGACTGCGCATGTGTAATCACGGTGCGTCTCGCCTCTTTACACAGGCAGAAGTGCGGGGGTCAAATCGGACGCGGGCAAGAGGGCTGGCGGCATGGGCCTGGACGCTGGGTGGCGGTCTGGGCAGCGGAGGGCTGGGTACCGTATGCATGTGGGGGCGCCCTGAGCCTTACCGGTGCCGTGAAAGTACGCATCTGTTTGTGTTGACCAGCTGAACCCGCCAGTTGAGGCAATCAAGCACGCTGAGCGGCACCGATCGAGGCGCCAGTGACACAGGCGCCCGAGGCGGACAAGCCCGGCGGGAGTGCAGCGCTTCTGCTGCAGCGCACTTCTTGATATGCATACATCAGGCCAACTTGCCACCTCAATCTGTCTATCTTGACTGAGTTTCCAACGAGGCGACGTGCGCAGCAGACCTGTCGAGATGAATCTCGCGACCGCGACGCGCATGAGCCCGATCACGGGCCTGAAGGGGCGCTTCATAGCGCCTATAGTACCAAGACGACACAGGCTACGCAGCTCGGGGCAGGTCGCTGCGCTGGCGTACGGCGCACCGTCGAAGTACGACTCAGGCGCGGCGCCCGGCAGCTTGGGCGACGCGCCGGCAGCCTCGTACGCGGACGAGGGCGCCCGGCCGCCGCAGCCAAATGATGGGGTCGGACACGTGTACGAAGCGACATACGACCCCGCCTGCCTCAACGCCGGTGAGCGGCAGTCCGTACCCCACACACAAACAGCAGCGCGCCGCACCTACATGCCTCGATGCCCGCCTCGACGCGCATGACCCGCCCCTCCATCTGCTAGACCTGCGGAGCCGCCTGGTCATTGTTATCGCAGCAAAAACGTCTAGCACTGTCTGCGACACCCCCTCTCAGCGCTCCGGCGCTCAAACGTGCCGCCCCGCGCGGCGCGCCCCATCGGCCGTGCTTCCGTCATGCCACCCCATCTTCGGGCCCCTCACGCACCCGTCCCCC